TTATAAGAGAAATTCGGGTAGTTTCGTACGATGAACATTCCCGAACATTCGAATTTTTCACCGATTTTGTGAGCCAAAAACAATACCGAAGCATTATGTCGAAACTCGTAAACTCGTTTCAATGTGACTTTGTTTTTGTTTTTGGCTTATAAAATCGCTGAAAAATTCGAGTGTCCGGAAATGCCCATTCGAGGTTACCCGAATTTCCCATAATGGATGAATTCAAAATACTTTTCTTCATGAAGCCTTTTTGAAACTGGAAATTTTTGTATAAATGTGATCGAAATTACTGGAGAACATTCAATAGACATTTTGAAAGAGCGATAAATTCTTGAGGTTGATGAATGAGATTGGTCAATCATATCATATTCTGTATAGATCATATAAAATCATATAAAACTATCAAGACAAAGAATCTAAAATTTGTCATAATTTATTTAACTTTTCCTTAATAGAAAAATAATTTTATTTCATATTCAACATCAATGATAATAAATGAGAATAAAAATATAACCAATTATAAAGAGTAAACAGAAAAAAAACATACATACATATTTTTTACATAAAAGAGCTCAGAATCTTATATAATAAATACTTACTAGCATTTTCTTTATTATTGATAGATAAAAGTTAAGACTGAAATTCTTGGTTTCAATGTACCATGAAAAGATTGAATTTTTTATCATCTTTTTTTAAAACATACGTTCTTTTTCAACAAATTCAATTTGTTTCTAATGTTAGGTGCAGCAATTTTTATGGCCTCTGATTGATTCTTCGAATCTGATGATTGATCAGAGTCACTATTACAAATTTACATTTAATTTCGATTTCTTTAATAATAAACTGTAAACTGGAATCTTCAGAGTATTCGCTTTCAGTATTTTCCTTGATTTCTTTAAGTTTTTTTATAATAAAATTATTGTACAAGATTGAATCTTTAAAAAAAAAATTGTTGCATTTAAAAATACATTGAATTGTTAGAAAATATATGTTTAATAATTATATTTAATGTATATATATACAGGGTGTTTCCAAAAGGTGGTACCAAATTTTATGGTATGTAGTACTTGTTAAAACAAACCAAAAAGTTGTAATGAACAGTACTCCGAAAACCTTTTATTTCTGAGTTATGAAGCATTTTCTTCTGTAAAAAATAGAAAATAAATTAAATCTACAATAAATGTTTAATGTGTCTTTGGCTTATGTTAATACACGATTTGGTATGTTTCATCATTGAAGATCAAAGATTCCAGGTTTATTTCGTATTTGTTGACAATTTCCAAAATCTCTTAGTCAGTTCATTCACGGGCGCCTGTATGTGACTACAATTATGCAGGGATTGTTGTATTCAACTTTGGATTGTGGACCTGTCTAATTTTGTGTTATTTGAAAAATAGCTAAGTTTTACACAAATTCTGAAATGACGGATATTCATTTTATGTATGGCAGAGCAAAGGGCAGCTTGTCCGAATCGCCGACAGCCAAGTAGAAAAATGTTTAGCAAAATTCATCAATGCTTACGTGAGACCGGACAGTTCAAACCAAATTTAATTGAAAGGGTAAATCGCGACTTGTTAGAACTCCTGCATTTAGAGGAAAATATTTTACGCACAATTGAAGAAAATGGAACATTTTGTCGAAGGATCGCTCTGCAAGAAAGAAGCCATCACATTGGAACATTTTGCATGATCAATTTTTGCATCCCTATCATGTCCAGCACGTTTAGGCTCTTCTATCAGTTGATATGCAATCAACGGATCACTTTTTGTCAAAGGCTTCTTCATCGATGCAATCAAGATTATTTATTATATATAACAATATTTATGCAATATTTATGCAATATTTTGTTTACTGATGAGGCATCCTTCACCAGGAATGGGATCAATCACATTCATAACATGTTTGGGGAGATAAAAATCCTCATGCTATCATAGCATCAGCATCGTTTTTCTGTGAACGTTTAGGCAGGTATTTTTAGAGACCATCTAATCGGACTTACATTTTGCCTAATAGACTAACGGGACAAGTATATCTTATTATAATTTTCTTGAAAATAATTTATTCTAACTTTTGGGAGATATTCCTTTACAACAACGAATATGGTTCATGCACGATGGTGCCCCTTTTCTCGTTAATGTCAGACGCCATTTAACCAATCATTTTCAAGAAAGATGGATAGGACGTGGCGGTCCAATTGTATGGCCACTTCGTTCACCGGATTTAAATCCGTTAGATTATTATCTATAGGGACACTTGAAGAGCATGGTATATCAGTTGATACAATAAATGAATTGAACTCAGAGAATTGAAAACTGTTATCAACAAATATGGAATAAATCCAGAATCTTTGAACGTCTTTCGGTCTTCAATGAGCAGACATGCCGAATTGTGTGTTGAAATGGACGGAAGGCACATTGAACATTTATTGTAAATTTAAGTTATTTTCTATTTTTCAAAGAAGAAAATGCTTCATAATTCAGAAATAAAAGATTTTTGGAGTACTGTTCATTAAGATCTTTTGATTTGTTTTAATGAGTACTACTTATCCCTAAAGTTTGGTACTACCTTTTGGGAACTGTATAAAGTGTATATTTAAAAATCTCGCGTCTGAATCGTCAAGTATAATGAGATATAAGAAATAACTTCTAAATCACATATCACGTATCAGGGACGTAACATATTTTTCAAAGAAAAGATAAGTTTCTTGTAATATGAATAGGAATAACTGTGCGATAGTATAAGTTCATATATACATTCAAGATAAGTATAATAAATGGACAGTATAAGAATATTTACGTAGCAGTCTTACGTTCCGTCAGTGCAGTTGTCATAATCATATCTATACAATTTAAAGATTATGCGTTTCACGGGTTTCTTCCGTGTCCAGATCCATTCT